GGTAAGCCACTATCATACCTAATATTATTATTATTATTATTATTATAGTTATTATTATTTTTATTGCAAGTATTGTACACATTGTTCAAATGTTAAACCGAGATACAATAGGAATCCTTTCGATCTACTTTTTCTCGATTATTAGAGGTAATATTTTAATCTTTAAAATATAAAATTTAAACGTTTAATCGATTTTACTTTTTTCCTCAAATATATTACAGATACATTCTTTTTTTTCTCTCATCAGATTTAAGATTCCATTTCAAATTTTATTTTCAACTTTTACGAATATTACGAACATTTGACGAGAAATTTAAGAATACACTGATAAACATTTTTACATACAAAGTTTTCGAATGATTTATTCTATTCGTAGTTGAATTTATAAAACATTCTGGTTATTTCTAAACAGGAATACAAATCAGTCGACTTTGTTATCGTTAAATTATCAAGTGTCATTTATCAAATACTCGATCGTTTGTTTAAAACGTTCGTTGGTCAAATTTTAGAGTTGGGGAAGTCGCGTTATCGTGAATTTTAGCTCGGTTTATATCTGCATACGTATAGTAACAACTACAACAACAACAACAACAGCAGCAGCAAGGAAGTTGTGGATGATATGGCAATGGATTGTATCTTGCTGCCACATCCTATCAAACTCGTCCTGTTGTCGTTTTGCTAACATACAGAGACTAGTTTTAACGATCAATCGCGGTGAAAGTATTAACACCATCCAGGAGTTCTTCCGCGAATCGATGAGCTAATTTTATCATGCTTAGGGCTTTGAAACCACCTAATCCTCATCCTCTTTCTTGTCATCGTTAAAGTTTACTTTCCTTTCATTTTTCAATCTGGAGGGGAAATCTCTGAATCTTCTATTGGCCAAGCTGGGTTATGGACGTTAACGAATAGGTTTTACACGATTAAAATAGAAAATTTTACGATCAAAGCCCATTTTACGCTTGTTGACGTTTACTACGAGACTAGTAGGATGATTTTAATTCCCTTTGAAATTTGATATTCAAATCATTCGAAGAACGAATATAAAATCGATTGTTAATAATATACAATACACAATTAAATGAATGAATTAGATTAATTGAATAATTTCAATGGTGATACTAATTTTTATAATAAATTTTGGTATACCCCTTAAAATAAATTATATATATTAACTTGAATTTTGAAATATATTATTCCTTTTCGTATATATATAAAGATAATGAGATATATAAATTATTAAAATTAGAACCGTGTGAAAATATTTCAATCTCGTCTTTCAATTCGATTAGATAAAATAGGACAAAATGTAAGCCACTCGTTTGCCAAATCAATTACCCTCTCAATACAAAAAGTAAAGAAAATTATTATTAATTACCCAAAACACACACACACACACACCATCAACAACATTGTGTTGTCATTTATCGATATATTTTAAATCAATTTATAAAACAAATTAATTAAAATATCAAAAAGAAAAGTATATAACATCGATCAACTTACATTGACGGTTAAAATTAAAAAAAAAAAAAAAAAAAAACCAAAAAAACAAAGAACAAATTTTACAAATCTTAGAACTCATACGATTCTGAGTTTATCGAAAATCGAAATAAACTCGATCGATTTGGGCTAAAAACTGGGCTCGCAGAGGGAAAGCTCCATTCGTATGAACGTGTCTCTCGAAGCAAACGTTGAAATGTCATTTGTGATTTCAAGCGGAAGAAGCGGATAAGAATAATAATATACGTTGATCGTTGACAGTCCCGTCGATTATTCGAGTAACAGCGATACGTAATCGAAATGGTATAGTAGGGTTTATTATACCTATACTACTTACGAACGACACTAGACGACACGAGTTCGAGCTTGACTTATAAACTAAAAATTGTCAAGTACCGTTCTCTCTTGTTCTACACATATCGTATGATATATTAAAGAACTCGAAACCGGCTAGACGACGAAGGAAGGAAGAAAGGAGAAGGAGTCGGAATAGGAGATTAGTAGTAGTAGTAGTAGTAGAAGTAGAAACATAACGGGAGGGGCAGAAGGGGGCGGTGAGGGGAGAATTGCAAGAGAGCAGAAATTCAAAGAGAAGTGAAATTGACATTAGACATTACCAAGATTGAAAATTTCAACGCGAAATAATCGTAACGGTTCGATGGATAGCTCAAAGTTAGAAGTCTGGACGTTTTAGAAAATCGAAAGTTTATTCTGGACTAATGACAAAGTAACGAGGGGTTTGATTGGTGGTAACATGTCGAGGAAAACTTAAAGAAAAACGATGATGTTGTTACGGTGTATCGTCCTGAACGAAACATGATTGTGGATATGGTGTATAAGATGGAAAGTAGTTTTCGGTATTGAGGAAACCATGATTTGAAGTAGCAAGCAAGCAAGCAAGCAAACAAGCAATGTGGTCTCACACAACGCGACAACACACACACACACACAAATATAAAACAAGGAAGAAATCGACGAGTGTTAGCTATCTGGAAATATCACTGGACGAACATGACGATGGTGTAGTAGTAGTAGTGGTGGTAGTTGCATGCTAATATCGGCTTTTATCTCTCATCCTCTATCTGGCCGTTTTTTCCATCGGGTATCCTCGACAGGCGCCGGGTCCGATACGGAAAAGAGAGAAATAGGAAAAATGGGTGGAAGGGGGAGGGTGGAAAAACTGTTTCACAGGAATGGATACGTATATGAGGAGACACCATCATTTTGGATCTTTTTTTGTTTCCTATTTTTTCCCCCCTTTTTCTTTTTTTTTGGGGAGTGGGAGGAAATTTTCGATCAAGTTTCTTCCCCTCTTCCACTTCACATTAATATCTCTCTCTCTCTCTCTCACTCTTCTTTTTTTCGTTCTTTTGTGCTTTCTCTTTCCGTGTTTATATATATATATATATACGTAGACGGATTTGTATAGAAGGAAATCAAGAGAGGACAGACAGACATTTTATGTAGGACGATCGAGGTGGAAGATACGGTTCGTGTCATTTTCGTAGATAGCCCGGTCTGTTTTATTCTTTAAAAGGCGATCTCTTCCTAGTCGTCGTGAAGTCAAGGAAGCGAGAAAAATATCCGTCTACCAACCAGCAATAGCAATAGCAACAGCAGCAGCAAAAGTAGTTGCCGTAGCAGCAGCAGCAGGCAACAGCATCGTTTCGTTTCGTTTCGTTTCGAATGAACGTAGTCTGTTGAAACAGTTCGCGTTCTCAATCTCTCCGCGAACCGAAAGCCTTGCGGATTTATCGTCGGAAATAATCTCTCGCGAAACTTAACCGAACCTTTTCTTTTCTTTTCTTTTCTTCTCATTCCTTTTCTTTTCTTTTATTTATCATTTCTTCTTTTTCCAATTTTTTCTTTTTCTTCTTTCTTTCGTTTCTCTTTTTTTAATTACTCTGAAAGGTGTGTTTTCAAAGATTAAATGCGGATTATTGCTTTGACATCGTCATCTTCAGCATCGTGCAACGGAGAGAAAACGATCTAACCGTCATGTTTTACAGGAAAAAGTAATCATAAACGCTAAGAAAGAAAGAGAGAGAGAGAGAGAGAGAGAGAGAGATTTTTCATCACTTCTATTTCAAACGCTACACGTATTATTTACACCCGCAAACCTTAAGTTTTTTCTTTTTCTATTTTTCGAGGAAAAACATGCGATCGTATCGAGAAAATGTTTTTTAACTTATTACAAACATTTTATTATTTTTCTCTTTCTCTTTCCCTTTCCATTTCTCTTTTTCATAAGCCGGATTTTTTGTTAACTTTATTATCATTCAAAACGATCCTCCTCTTATATTTTTCATTCAAACGTTTACGTAGGATACGTGAGGAACATTTTCAACGAACGTTCAATCCGAACGTTTAGATTATAACGCATGCTTTTACTCCTATCTTTACAGATTTTGATACACGAACGATATTTCCAACTGGACAATGTTTCTTACCATTTTGATTACGCAAACCAATTGAATGACTTGGACTACTGGTTATACGTGTATATAAATACTTATACTTGTATACGTCAATGGAGCTTTGCATTCTCACTTTTACGTCGACCTTAAGCGTCGTTTTTCAAACTACCTGATCGAGTCACGCTACTTTCACGCGTAATGTTCTAAAGAAAAATAAAGTTGCATACCGTGTAGAACTTGCGTAGAACATACCTTAAGTAATCAACATGTGTGAGTATTTGTGTGTATGTACAGGGTGAAATAAAAGTCGCATTCCACCAAGAGATTCGTTTATGTAAGTCATTTGTTCATGCAATGATATATTTTATTGGTTACAAATGTACAATACAAGTTTTCTGATAGTTAACTTTTTATGCGATTATTGCCTGTGTAACAACACATTACGGTTAAATATTTTTATTTTTATTTTTCTTATCGTGCATCTTGCGTTTTTAAATTGTTCGAAAAATGAATTGCAAGTTTTAAAGAAAAATGAAAGAGTTGTCGCGTTGCAACGCGTGTGTGGAAACATGATAAAAGCTTAGAGTTTGTAATAAACTGTCATTTTGAAGTTGGAAAAAGAACTTTTATCTCACCCTGTACCTCACCAGCACACTGTTGAACATAGTCTCGCGTGCGATCGCATTTGCCGATTAGAAATCTTTGAGCCGCCGGTATATGCCACGATTAAACGTTACGAGAGAGGATGGTTATTAATTAATTATAGAAGAATTATCAAATTATAGCACAATGGTCGTTCGACAGTTTTTTTCTTCTTTTTTACTTTTTTTCTTTACACGTTTCCTTTCAATCGTTAACGAGCAAAAGATAAATTATTATCTAATTAAAAGTATTTACCTATCATCATCTCTCAATTGCGAAAGATTTATCTTAACTAATATGTTTCGTATATATTCTATTTCTTTTTTTTTTTTCTTTTTTATCTTTCAACTTTTAGATCCCCCCAAAACTGTTGAATAATTTCTCGTCATAAATTAAAAGAACAACCTTCGTTATTTTCTTGTTTTTTTTTTTTTTTAGTGAAGTGAGCATATCATCCGCTCGGGCGGCGGTTATGGTCTACGACGACGTGAACAAAAAATGGATACCGAGTGGTACCTCGGCAGGACTTTCCAAGGTCCAGCTATATCACCATCAGGTGAACAACACCTTCCGCGTCGTTGGAAGAAAGTTACAGGATCACGAGATCGTTATTAATTGCGCCATCCTTAAAGGACTGAAATATAATCAAGCCACGGTCACGTTCCATCAATGGAGAGACAACAAGCAAGTTTACGGACTGAATTTTTCTAGTAAGGACGATGCTGATGCTTTTGCGAGTGCTATGCTTCAAGCCCTTGACGTAAGTTTATTTTGTTTATTAAAAAGTCAATTATATTTTTCTCGTACAAAATTAGATTTTTCATTACAAAGTTATACGATAGTGAGTGTCTTACTGTAAACGTTGTACGTCAGTTAGTTTTACGCAATTGTATGAAAGAAAAACATCTTCGAAGGTATACAAATTCGAGAAAAATCTATGACAATTTTCTATCTCTAATTTTTATCTCTCACAGACCCTCCTCCTCTTTCACGATTACACTTGTTATATGGTTATTCTATGTGTGTATTGAGACAGGACGACGACTATTAGCTGACCGTTATCGTGTGATTATTCAGACGAAAAGGGGGTGGTCTATTAAATTAATTTCGGTCACCATCCTCCTCCTCCAAACAAGGTCTTGCATTACTTTTTTCGGCAAATGGCTAAAGGCACCGCTTTGTTATACGATCGTTAGTTTAGTATCGCGATAGAAATAGCCGGCAGTGGGAGGATAGGGTGGGGAGAATAATTAATTTCCTAGCAATTGCAATTAGAGTCACATGACCTTAGTTAGAATCGATCGTATCCTCGCACAGACCGTTTTACGATGATTCTTTTAAACGAGTGTATCTTCGTTAATTATCTGGAAACTTTTTCTTACGTTTTAACAATAGTAGTATCACGGAACATGGACAAGACAAGGTTGGAACATTTCCAAATAAGTCTGATCAATTATTTTTCTTTTTATTTTTATTGTGCGTATTATTTAGTAATCAAATTATTGCGGACATTATTACACGTAACTTTGGTAAATCGTTAGATAAATTAACGAACGTTTATTTTTTTTTCTTTTTTTTTTTGTTATTTAACGACGACGTCCTATTTGATAATGTTCTTCAAAATGAATGTAGGTGCGAGAGTAAACGTTTTTTTCCCTACATTTACGCTTACCCTCCTCTCGTTGCCGCAGTCCCAGGACATTTAACAAAGTATAATTCAATTCAATTCGATTCAATTGTTCGGGTCCGTTGTTGCGTAGGTGCTAAGCAACGGAAGCAACATATCAAGAAGTCTGGGTCCGGCAGTCGCACCGACGACTCAGCAGCAACCTGTTTATCAGCAGCAGCAGCAGCAACAACTCCAACAGCAGCAGCAGCAACAACAACAACAACAGCAACAACAACAACAACAACAGCAACAACAACCGCAGCAACAACAACAGCCGCAACAACAACAATTGGCGAACGCTCAATACGAAGAGGACATGGGATACAGGTCGGTGATCATTTTTTATTCCTTCGTGAGATTTTTTCTTTGTTTCTTTATCATTTTACTGATGATCAGGCTAAAAAGAGTAGCGTAGAGCGTTAATAGCGTTTCACAAAATTAAAATCATCGAACGAGCTACGAAATATTCATAATTTGTCATCAATGTCGATTTATCACACTGTTGTTTTGCTTTAACGAACTTTATTTATTCTCTTGAACATTAAAATTCATAAGATATCATTTTAACCAAGCAAGAAACAGTCTGATTTATTCGCACTTAAAACGTATCGATTATGAGCTCGTTCATTTAACATCAGCTGGATGATTACTACTACTACGGTTACAAAGATTTGAGGCTCTGCTGTAAGAACGCATACGTGTTTAATCTTTTTTTGTGTTTTTTTTTTTTTTTTCATTTTATCAAAACACGTTAAATAATTTCGTAATATATAAAACTCGGAATAAACGCGTAGACGTTCAATCAGCAACCCGATTTGGGTTAGAGAGCCTTTGTCGTCATAGTTGCGTGGTTCCAGTCAAGGTCATAGCGCGCGAGTCTCCTTGTCTTTGGGCCATCTTCCTGCCGGGGGTCAAACGGGTATCTCCGTGGGGCCCCCGACACCAACCCCCAGTCATCATCCATCCGTTAGTAGCGCCGTCACCACCGTCATTCAGGTGGGCTGTTCGCGTGGCTCACCGGCCGAGGGACTCACGAGGTGATTTTGGGCCTTCCTTTATAAGAGACGATATAATAATATCATCATTCATGTAACAATATTCGTCACTTAAAACTTTATTCCGGATTATATTCTTATTTTTGTGATCGTTTAGAAATTTTGTGTCAATTTTTTTTTTCGACAATTACTCTTTTTTTTCTTTTTTTTTTTTTTTTTAAATAAATTCGATTAAAAATTCGTATAAATATAATTTTTTTTAATAAATATTCGAATAAACTCGTGTAAATATAATTTTTGTAATAAATATTCGAATAAATTTCGTGTTAAATAAATATGTATCGTTGCATGGTATACGATTTTTTAAATGGATCGAACTCAACATGAACGTATATAGGTCACCAATAACGAAAGGCTTAAATATAGGTACAGTGACTCGCGAAAGTATTTCAACACTTACCCCATGAATTATTTTATTAATTATATTAAATATATTCCGACATATTATTAACATTGGATGGAGTTATAACTATCTAGATTATATAGATAAAGTTTCAAGCAAAAATCGAAATATATTCTATAGAATAGTTATGATTAGATGATGATAGTTATGATATTCGAAGTATGAAGTTCCATATTACCAAGTGTTATAGAAAAATTAGTAAAGAGTATGCATAATCGTTTACAAGATTTTATTCGTGCCAAAAAGGTGGTCCCCTATTAAATATTAAAGATCTAAAAGTTATCTGTTTAAATATTTTTGTGACTTTAGTAATCTTTACGTTTGTAAGAAATAAATCATAACTATTGTATATATATTTCGATTTGCTTTGAAATTTTATTTATATAATTTATAAAGTCATACCTCCCTATCCAATGATAATAATATTTCGGTATATAAGTGTTGTATAATACAATATACTTATTATAATTAATAAAGTATTTCATGGCATGCTCAAATACTTTCGTAACTCACCATACGTCTTTTCGAATGTTTTGCAAAGTTAATATTTAAATTCGTAATAATTTGACACAATATTTCATGCGATATCATTTATAGATATTTTTCTACATACACTTACAATTAATTGAAAATATCATTCTCCACTTTTTAACGATCATTCATTTAATCCCATTAGATCACGAATAATCACATTTATAATTACACGATGCAATGATAGCTTCTGCATTATTCTGATTGGATAGAAACATTTTTTCTTAGAATTTTTTTTTTTAACGCTTTTTATTTTCTTTATTAATATTTTTTTTTTCCACTTTCACTGTGTATATATTTTGATTAACGTAAATATTACTCGTATAAATATACGAATGTGAATAAAAGGAATGAAAGGAAGGAACACAGTCTTATTCCAGAAGACGTTGAAAATAAAGTTTCGAGTTATGGGCGCGATGGTCGCGACCGTCACGACGAAAATAACTTAGAATCGCTAAACGCGGCGAGAGTATCCATCCTATGCTCGGTTTGATTTTTCGCGTTACGTTTCTTCGTATACTACCTACGCGTGTGCTTGTACAAAATCAAATCAAATCACATAAAATAAAATAAAATAAAATAACAGAGAGGAAAAGAAGGAAAAAAAAAAAAAAAAGAAAAAAAAGAGCAAAAAGCAAAAAATAAAAAACCCTGAGCGATAAAGAGAGAGAGAGAGAGAGAGAGAGAGAGAAAGAGAGAAAGAGAGAAAATTAATAATTCCTATTGGAGATATTGCATTTTCGTGTAATATATCAAGCAACGTTGTCAGCGATTGTGAATGTGTTCGCACGAAGTTCCATTGAAAATAGTAGTCATCGTTCGTTAATGCGAACGAACCATTCGAGAAGCTACCTCTGCGGCAATTCGTTTTTCTACTTGTCTCTCGCCATTCACCACCTCGCCCAGTATCTCTATATTGAAACCATCCATTCCGAGAAATGTTTTTTTCGGTTGAACGAACGCACTCTCTCTTTCTCTCCCTCTCTTTCTCGTTATATATATATATATATATATATATATATATATATAAACAAAAAAAAAAAAAAAAAAAAAAAAAAAAAGGATGAGAAAAAAAAATACGACACAAATATTCATCGTATTAAAAACTCAAACGGGGGTAAAGAAGAGAGACCAGACCGTCTTTTCGCGTTCGCGGTTGATTCTAATTTCTTTTTTTCTTTTTTTACTTCTCCTTTTATTTTTTTATTTTAAACACTATTTTATCCCTTTTAACTTATTTGAGAAAAAAAGAAAGTGAGACGACACGAGAAACAGGAGAGGAAAATGGGCTCGTTCGACGGGTGGATGAAAATGTTTCATAAATTCATCGAATAAAACCGTGTTGGGGATATCTCATGTGTGTGTTGTTGTTGTGTGCTGGGTTTACACAGATGCAGTCGACACGACAACAACGACGACAACAACGACAACGACAACGACAACGACAACGACAACGACAACGACAACGACAACGACAACGACAACGACGATGACGATAACGATGACGATGACGATGACGATGACTACAACTACAACGACACAACGACGACGGGACAAGATTAGAAACGGTACTCGGGTACTCAGCTGTGTTTACTCGTTCTCTCCACCTTCTCTTTCTATACCTTTATCCATTATAGCTTTTCCCCCCCCCCCGCCCACACCCTCCGACATATACGCGCACACACACATACACACATACATACTCTCGTTTCCCGACGAGTTCTCTGGTTTTCTTGTTAGATGAAACGCATAAAATAATAGCAATAGAGATAATCTATGTAAATAATAATACGAGTATCGATAAGTTTTAGACGTTTAGAGTTGACATTTTCCAAAAATGTGTCTCCTTACGGGTTTGTAACCACGTGATATATTTAATGTTTAGCCACCTTAGCGGTAGTAGTCTTAAACTTAATCTAGAACAAATATCGTTTCTAGAGATTATACGACTCTCTGAATATTATCATTTTATTTTTTCATTATCTGTGTGTGTTTGTACATGTTTAAAGTGTATACGTGTAGAGAGATATATTTGTTTCTCGATAAACTTATACGTTTATAAGCCATCGCTAGGGTGGTTATTACGAAACTTAGATACCATTGTTCTCTAGATAGCTCTGATCGCTCGAGATATAATATTTTTCTATTTGTTAGTCTAGTTGGCTGATCGAACACGCTTTGCACTAACCATACGTGCATCATTCTTCTTATGCAACAATGCCCATGATCGTATTATAATCGATTTTGTTCTGAATTTAGGACTATGACCAGAGAAGACGTGGCGATCATTCAGGAACGCAGAATGTCTCAACAGAGTCAAGGTATTTTATTTTAAAGAGTTATTGACATTTATATAAACTTTCTTTTAAGTTATAATCATTGTAAGAATGGATCCTGTATGATCTGCAAGGATGATTATGATTGCGATTTGTAAAAGAAATAAATCGTGAACGATTGTGCAGCAACGAACAGTCCGAGTGCAATTTCACCGAGTTGTCCGCCAACGACACAACAACAGCAACAACAACAGCAACAGTCGGGTCATCACAGAACGTCGTCCGCTCCTCCAGCCCCGCAACCTCAACAGCAGCAACAAGCCGTTCAACAGACGCAACCGCAACAACAGGCTGCAATTCCGGGAATGCAAGGACCTCTTGTTTCTTCGGCAGTTCCTTTATCCGCCAGCGGAGGTGGACCACCAATACCACCACCGCAACCTCCCACGGCACCACCCGCTCCTCCGTGTCCGCCTTCTATGATAAACTTCAATGCACCCGTACCGCCACCCCCAATGATGATAAACCAATACGCACAGTCGCCATCTTCTCAAACGCAATCTCAGTCGCAATCGATCTACGCGGCACAGAGTCAGGGCAATCAGTATGGTGGAGGAGCACCCGGTAACAATCAGTATTCGAACCCTAATGTTACCGGGTCCGTTGTGGTCGTAGGTCAGAATCCGAATCAGTACGCGTCTACCGGGCAGAACAGCTTTTACGGTAACAACGGACAAGGTAACAACGTGTACGGTAGCGGTGGTCAAGCTGGTCAGACCAGTCAGACCAATCAGTATGCTGTGGTCGGCGGTCAGGCCACGCAATACGGTGCCGGTGGCGGTAGCGGCCCTAGCAATCAGTACGGAAGCAACAGTTCGATCGTTCAGTACGCCAGTGGTCCACCTTCGGCGGCTAGCCAATATGCTGCAGCTGCCGCTGCCGCGGTGGTAGCTCAGCAACAAGGCCAGTCGCAGTACGGTGTCGTCTCCCAACAACCGCAGCCACCGTCTTACGTTACCGGACAAGTGCAAGCAGCTGTTGCCAGCGTCAATCCTTATGGTACCCCTGCGAATTCGGTGAATCAGTATGCTACCGGAGGACATCACGCGGTTTCTGCTACCGCTTACGCTCCACCACCGCCTCCTATGGTCCCATTGGCGGCTGGTCCCGCTGCTCCGCCTCCACCCCCGCCCCCACCCGCGCCTAATTCGACTAATAATTCCTCCAATATTTCCGCATCTTCTTCCACCGTCGTAGTATCATCCAGCACCTCTTCGTCCTCCGTAACCAACAACGATCCACCGCAACCTGATGCCAATTCTCTCGCTGCGGCCCTGCAAGCAGCCAGGCTTAAGAAAAAACAGGTTGGTATGTCGGTTAACGATGAGAAATCTAAACTATCATCCGCGTATCGAATGATATCGAACAACAACGTTTATTTCTTATCATCAGCAACAGACGCAGCCTGTGGAAAATAGCGGCTCGAGTACCAGCAGTAGCGGAAGCGGAGGAGGCGGTGGCAATTACGGAACGTTGGGAAGAGGCGGAGGTGGCGGTATGGCTTCTATGATGGACGAGATGGCGAAAACGCTGGCACGTAGACGCGCTGCCGTTGAGAAGAAGCAACCGGAACAACCACCGGTTCGTTTAAATGAGACCACCCTTTTTAAAGCCCCATTTGCATTTGAGTTACCGCATGTATTAATGACTTCATAAATTCAACACGTTCAACAGACGATTGGGCCGTATCACTACTCTACATTTTACACAATTATAAAATTTGTTTTTAAATTTGAATCTTAAAATTAAAATTACGAACAACCAAGCGCGTTACCGATGTCAAAGAAACGTTTGTACAAGACTGCTCGCAAAACATGCGTGAAATTAATCTGCTCGCAGCGATAAGTGGAAAAGGTCGTCGTAAAAGATCCAAATGGGGATAAATTTTCTTTTTGACAATAAAACTGGCTATAAAATGTGTGACTTTTTACAAACGGCGGGTGTTGTCGGTTATTTTAGGAACCTGAAAGTTCACCGGACAAGAAGTCATGGGATAAAAGCAGTTCGTCAAACAACAAATTTTCCAATGGAGCCGAATCGCCAAAGTCGGTTAGAAAAAGGTTTGGTTCCGCTTCCGAAGATACGCTTCTCAAAGTCAATGGCGTTAACGATGGCTCCTCGTTGACGGCACAAGAGATGGAGGCGTTTAAAGCTGAGATAATTAAAGATATGCGCAAGGAGTTTCAAAAGATGAAGCAAGAAATAATCGATGGTAAGATTAAGTGATTAAATACAATCTAATTGTTTTATGCAATGATCAAAATATTAACTCTTGTTACTTTATTTTTTTTCTTTTTTATTTTCACAGCGGTAAGAACAGAACTGAGTAGAAGGTAAAAGACGAACAAATTAATCCGCATGACAAAAATGGATGCGAAGACACGAAAAGGAGAGATATTTGAAGTATAGGAGAAAGGAAGAGAAAGGGAGGAGGGTGGTCAAAAGATGAAGAGGGAGAGAAAAACGAAAGATTTGATTAGATAGCTCGATCGAAGCATTATCGACTACATTAACACACACGCATACACACACATCTCACATATACATGCACACATACAAGTTTTTATTACATATTTGCGAGAACGCAGTGTAGTTATACCATGTATATCGATCATTTGTGTGTAAGTACGTTATCCTAGCTTAGGTATCTTAAGTGATGATCGTACTCCCTTTGTTACCTATTACAACAAACAATAATCGTCAATTGCCGTTGGATCAATTGAGCCGCACAAATCGTGATGATTAGAATTTCAATTTAGGATTCACTATACGCACATGAAGGCGATACACCGATGTCATTAAGTTTAAATCTAATATTCACGCACATCATATTGATGCTATCTAATATTTAATCATTTTTTTTTTTTTTATAGAAAAAAAATTTTTTTTTTTTTTTTTTTTTTTTTTTTTTTTTTTTTTTTTTTTTTTTTTTTTTTTTTATACATAATCACGATGAGTTATGTAATAGAATCGTCTTTTTAAAATGTTGATTTTTTATTTGAGTTTTAACATCGACGAATTTTTACAATATTTATTGTAATGAAATTATATGAGAAAGTTAGCTCAATTGACGCAACGCGACGCGGTTCATTATCTATATATATTTTTTAATCTGATATATGATCAAGTAGGATTTTTAAAACATTTATAATAACGTTAAGGCGACAGATAGAAAAAAAAAAAATTAACGGTCTCGTTATATAATATACACACACACGCATACACAGGTATAAATGTACAGAATTCATTCACCAACGTCGTGGCACATTTTTTCCAATCCTTGACATAATTACGAAAAAAGTGAGAGAGTGAGAGAGAGAGAAAAAGCGAAAAAGAGAGAGAGAGAGAAAGAGAGAGAGAGAGAAAGAGAAAGAAAGCGATATATCAGTTAGTTTCGTCATAGATTTTCACCGAAGTTTCGAATGAATCTTAATTGCAGTAACGCATCCTATTTACGTCAGGACGACGGTACATTCCAAATGCGAACAGAAGATCGAAATGAAATTCGCTTTTGTTCGTCATATTTTAACCCTTTTTTTACTTTTATATTTTTTTATACAATTATCGTTTTTTAATTCTCACAGTCCATCGCTTTAAAGAAAAAAAAAAAAAATAAATAAATAAATAAAAAATAAAAATAAAGAAAACAGGCCACGACTTTGGACAATCAAATTCGCAATATATTTCCTACGTCTTGGGTTCGAACAACACGCATATATATATAAATATAAATATAAATATACATAAAATAAATGCGTTATAAATAATATTAATAATAATAATAATAATAATAATAATAATAATAATAATAATAATAATAATAATAATAATAATAATAATGATGATAATAATATATATTCGCGCGAAAAAAGTGCGTGTTAAACTTTTTAAATAACACGAATAAGAACGATTCTTACTTACGTTACTACTACTATTATTATTATTATTATTATTATNCTACTACTATTATTATTATTATTATTATTATTATTATTATTATTATTATTATTACTATTATTATTATTATTATTATTGAAATAATCTAACGAGTAAAAAGTCGAATCGTTCGGGGCTTTCGAACAAATTGTTTTTTCATAAATTTCTTTTTTTTTTTTTTTTTCGACATATGCCGATACGTTACATTTTACACTACGTGCCCTTGAGGATGCAGTAAAATAACGACATCGTTGATTATCGTCGTAAGATATTTGATTAAAAAAAAGAAAAAAGGAACAAAAAAGAAAAGAAGAGAAAGAACATCGTTGAAGTTCGTATTGTAACAAATCACGTGGTGGAAAAGAAAAGAGAAAAAGAAAAAGAAAGAAAAAAAACATACCGCAAAACGATAACGTACTTTTTACACGCGTATAAAAAACTATGTAAAGTATATATATATATGTACGCTAAACGAACGAACACGTACACACACTTAAAACACGCGCGTTCATATACTATTACTACTACTATTATTACTACTATTACTACTAATTACACTAACACGATCGTTCGAACAGTTTTACCTTTTCTCTCGATAATATTTTTTTTAAATATATATATATATTTTTTTGTAAGTCATCATCGGAATAGCCGCATTCGTGAGAAAGGAAAAAAAAGAAAAAAAGAAAAATTTTTTTATACAGCGGCACGATGACTTAGGCCACTCGAGATTTTACCGAGCTAAATTTTTATCCGATTGCGACCTACATATACATATATTCATACAAATCTGCATACGTACATACGCTCTGTACATCGTGTATGCGCATACATACATACATGCATACGTACATATCTCTATGCATAAATACGTATGTCGTACACACATAAAAACATATAAATGAGACACACACACATATATATATACACACACACACACACACACATGATATTATTCCATTTGCCAAGCAGGCAAATCCATGAAATTCCATTTTATACGAGCACAGTCTGAATACGCATCATCCATAATCCATCGTATCGCGATTTAATATCGATTACATCAAACCAACATCCGTCGGAAGTCGCGATACGAAGACTTGGGGTTTCCTTTTAAAGGCTGACGAGAAGACAGGAATAAGTTTCGCGCATATGATACATACGTAAAACGATTTCTCCTTCGAGAGGCTTTTTTTTTTTAAAGCCGATAAATTATAAACCTAATTGTAATCTCCTCGTACGTATTATTGTGTAAGTAATAGAAATAATCTCTTTAATAAGATTCGAAATTTTTGTCTAATGTACCGAAATAAGAAGAGAAGAAATGGAAGAAGAAGAAGAGGAAAAAGAAGAAGAAGAAGAAGAAGAAGAAGAAGAGGACGAAGATAAAAAAAAAAAAGAAGAAAAAAGAAAAAACGCCGAAACGATTTCTAGTCTGTCGTCGGAAAAGTGGAAAATTATTATTAAATGAAAGGGAGACGGAAAGAAGGGGGTGGGAGAGGAGGAGGAGGGGTTGACGGCATTATCGTTTTTTTTTCTTCGGTGTTTAACGCGCCAAAAATATCAATTTTTATTATTATTATTATTATTATTATTATTATTATTATTATTATTAGTATTATTATTAATAGTATTATTATTATTAATATTATTATTATTATTA